GCAGCAAGCAATCACAGTAGCATATCACCAGGGGAAAACCAATCACCGAGGCGTTAATGAGACGCTGCAGGCATTGCGTCGGAAGTATTTCTGGTGGGGCATGAAGAGGTCCATCCAGGAAGTCATTGGGAAATGCGAGATATGCATGCGCACAAAATACGATCGACACCCCCCCAGAGGAGTTCAGGAGGAGACACCTACAGGGAATATGCCGCTACAGGACCTTCAGATTGACACGTTTACCTGGAAAGGGTTTAAGTGGGTCACGGTAATCGACATATTCAGCAAGGTGGCGATGGCATACCAAGTGATGGAGAAGTCAGCCAATGCAGTTGCGGAAGCCCTACAAACCTGGGTGCAGTTCTATGGGGTCCCCGAGAGGATTACTTCGGACGGTGGTAGGGAGTTCGACAATGCCGCGATTAGGGAGGAGGTGAAGCGATTGGAAATTGCGTGGCATTATAACACCCCAGGACATCCTAAAGGTAGAGGCGGTATTGAACGGCTGCACAGTACGTTAAGCGACCACGTCCGTGTATATCAGGGTGAAAAAGGGTTGGAGCCGGATGTGGCAATGAGGAAAGCGGTAACAGCCTATAACCACTCGATCCACTCCGTAACGGGGTTTTCACCCATGGAAGTTCTATTCGGGATGCGCAGGCCAAGGCGGGATTATGGGGAAACTACGCTTACCGAACCGTTAGTGGATCAAATTCTCAGCAATAGGGTAGAGGTAGAGAAAACATGGGGAAAGATAACGGCGAGAATTAAGCGGGAAAAGCAGAAGCGGGTGGAAAGGCAGAATGTACAAGTTCGCGACCAAATGGGGGAACTAAAAATAGGAACAATAGTTTACCGGAAATTGGGAACCAACAGAGGGAAACAATTGCTACGGTACGAGGGTCCATTCAGAGTGGTTGTTATTAGGGAGCATAACCTGGTAACTATTGAGAGCGTGAATGAGCCCAGAAAGAGGAGAACCGTTCATATCGAACAATTAAAGCTCCCAATGATAGAGTCGGGACATAGACCTATGGATTCGTAGTACCCTCACCGCTGTAGATAAAACAGAGGAATATGTTTTTTTTTGTGGCTGTCAAAACAAAGCAAGTTGTAAAAGATTTTTTTTTTGTTTTTTTGTTGTATTATTTCATGTATAGAGGAAGTTGTGTTTTTTTTTTGTTGTTGTTAGGAGTTCTCAAGTGGTAGGAGTTCTAAAGTGCTGTGTTTAGTTTCAGTGTTTTTAATTATTTCTTCTGTATTTAATATTTTTCCATTTGAGTGGAACTATTTTATTTTCTTTTAAGGATATACTGTAAAACCAATTGTAAAGTGTTAAGGCTGGTCACCGTGGGCTCCGATCTAGCAATATTTAAGTTTCCGAAAATCCTGTTCGTAAACTGGTGGGGGGGAGATAAAGACCGGAGACTGGCGGTATCAGCCTTAATACTATCTGGTAATGTAAATAAACAGGCTAAGTGTATATAAGGAGGCTTATGGAACGAATAAAGCAGTGTTATTTCAGAAGTCGTGTATGTTACATCTTTTCCCTTTTCCTTCTTTTTTTTTGATTTTTAAGTCCGACGACGCTTAACTTATATATATATATATATATATATATATATATATATATATATATATATATATATATGCATTTGATATGATTGTTTACATTAACGGAAAAATTAAAGGTGGGAGGAGTGAAAACAGCCTCCATAAGCTATATTTCTAGAATCTTAAACTAAGAATGAATAATATTAAAAATTAAAAACTTCTTTCTTCTTTCTTAGTTTGTAGATCCTCAAAATAAAAATACAACGTTTTCACAATCTGACTAGTCATGTAAAAATGTCACTAAAAAAACATTATCTATAAAATATATTTATAATTGTACTTATGCCGCAGAACATGTGATAAGAAAATCACGTGAAAATGGAGATGTGCACATGAGAAATGAATGAATCATAAAATCCTAGAATATATTTCTGTATTATTATCCCTGAATATGAATGAAAATTTAAATAATTAGAATATTTAGATCGTGATAAAATAATTTTGTAACTGATTATAGGCCTTAGTTTATTCGGTTAGTCGAGTTTTCTTAATCAATTTTAGTTAACATATTTTGCTCATTCATGTTGTTTGATTGAATAATTGAAGTGAAAACATCTGTAAGAGCGTCTTGCACTTTTTTTGTCTAGAGTGAATAAGATTGAGCCGTTAGATCTCCTATGCGTAACGCTCGTAAAGTCGTCTAATTGAAGTGTTTTTACATATGGATTAAAATATCTCAAAAATTAATAATCGGGCCTGCATATTGTAATCGAGGGAATTGTTTAGCATTCCATCCTCTCTGTAATAGGCTATAATTCAAAATTGTATCTTTACGTGACGCCGTGTTAGGGAGGCGAAAAGTGAAAACATTGTGTCGAAAACCAAATAATAACGAGTTTTATTGAAGATATGGATTAAAATGTCTCAGAAACTAAAAATCGGATCTGCATACTGTAACACGGGAAATGTTCTGCGTTTCATCCTCTCTAAAATGAGATATTATTTATAATTATCCATTTCATATCATTAATCTCGTCTTGTTGATGTTTTAACTTATATCGCATGGTCTAAAGCACACACCTTAGTTTTTTTTTTTTTTAGTAATTGGCTAATTAGTCCGTGGTACAGACTTCTTTTCATCGAATTATTAACATCCGCCTGAAACTTCGTAGATAGCTTCATTTCATCATAATCTACAACTATTTTATTTACGAAAACTCTTGGAATTGGGGTGTTTTCAATCTGGAAAGGAGCAAACTTTTTATATTTAATTAAGAACTAAAAACTCGGAAATACTCATTTGCTTTAATCTTGGATCGTAAGTTAATTTGATCAAAAAATCGAGAAAAAAATGTGGCCTTCAAAAATATTGAACCGTTTGGCGTAAACTACACCCCCAAATTTACAAGAGGTTACATAGGACAAACCGTCCAATATTTTTGTAGGCCACTTTTTTTTTCTCGATTTTGTGATCAAATTATCCAACGGTTCAAGTAGAAAGAAAATGGGTATTTACGAGTTTTTAATATCTAATTGAATAGACAAAGTTTTCCTCCATCCAGATTAAAAACGCCCCAATTCCAAGAGTTTTTGTAAATAAAATAGTTGTAAATTACGATGAGATGAAACAGTATACGAAGTTTCAGGCGGATGTTAATAGTTCGATAAAAAGGGGTCTGTACCAAGGACTAATATATATATATATATATATATGTATCTTGTTGTTTTATTCTTACTCTATGGCACCCAAACATTAATGTAGTTTTTAATTAATTTTTGTTTTTTTTTTTATCGATTATATTTAGCGAGAAAATAACGATTGATCTTATGATAGGTTGCATTATTTTATTTTATTATGAATTTGTCATTTGATCACTGAGCAATATACTGCGCGAATTTTTTTCACTGGTGAACTAGTGTTATAAAATAGAGCATACAGTATTAGTATAAATCTTTTAGTAATACCCCAAAATATTAACCATTAAAAAATTTACAATGTAAAATAGTAAATAATAAAACATTCACTGATAATAACCCACTCAAACAAAGCAACACATAATAAAACGTATTCGGTTAAGGTTGATTCATTCATTTATTATAAAATATGTTGTTTTGAGCTCTTCATTAATGAACTGGTAGATATCAAACACCACTTTACTGCTGGCTAAAGAAAGCAGCAGAGCAAACTCATGCTCCTCGTCCTCCATCTTCAAGTCTTAAAGATATCATATGTTGTATGATATATCATATACAATATGTTATATCAGTAGTAGAGCTATACACTAGCGTTTCAATCTTAGCGTTGATTACACTACATACCCTCTTTACCTAGACATTCCTTCCTATTAATCTATTATCTTCTTAGAACTTCCTATCTACATCCCATCCTCTACCTCATGTTCAATCGTCTACGATATCTCCTTCCATATAAGTCTCTCCAACTCCTAGTTTCCTCCCTTGTTTTCCCCACTTCGACTATGGCTGTATGGTGTACGGTGGACCCTCGGGAGATTCCGAGGCCAAACTTAAACGCCTAATGAATTGTGCACTACGATTTTCGGAATCTCAAGGGATACGCATATTACCCAGTATTACACTGAGTTGAGGTGGCTTTACCCATCCTATCGCCGTCAGTACTTTCTGTACCAGATCATTAGAACTCATCGATACTCCTATACTTATCACAGCTTACAATTCAAATACTCCATCCAATCTCGTCCCACTAGATCTCGTACTTCCGACCTCTATCCTCCTCCTCACCGAACTGCTGCGTTTGACAAATCCTTTGCAATACAAGCCGCCTCCCTCTGGAATTCCACCCCTGCTGATATTCGACACGCTCAATCAGTTTCCTCATTGAAACCTCTCCTCTTTAAACACTTACTCCTTTCTCAATCCGACTGATTGCGAAATATACTTAAAAGAAATATCTAAGCACCCCCAGAGACTACCTCAATTTATTTAGGTTATTTTAGTTTCTCTTATATATGTACAACTTTCTTGTTCTTTTCTTTCTCTTCTTCAGTATTTTTAGTTTTAGTCAACTCTTATTGTAAATATATAATCTAATTGTAACCACACAGACATACAGTCTGTATTTATAATTTATTCGAAAGGGACAACAGTCCCAAAGTAATAAAATAATTTTTCATTTCAAAAATACCAAGTATTTTACTCAAATTGAATAGCTATTGGGAATTCAATCACTGCTTCAACTAATCGTTTGACATCAACTGAAATAGTAATTATATCTATTATCTTTGGTACTCAAAAATAGTCAGTATTTGATTAAAATACTTGGTATTTAGTACTCAGAGTATCATTTGCCCACCTCTGTATATGTTCGCCCTTAGCCTCGGTTGAACTTGGTCCGTTCCCTTCCCTCCCTTCCACAACCCCTGACACTGCCCTACCCTGCCCTGCCATACTCCTACTGACGACGCCCCCTGTTGCAGATGCTAGCGGTGCCAGGAGGCGGAGGTCTGGGGGCGGAGAGGGACAGGCAGGTCCGGCTCCATTCTGTCTCCACCGACCTCGAGCTCGGCCTACCGCCCTCCATCCCCCTCCCCGATGGCGAGGAGCTGCCCTACGGTTCCTCCGCCAGGATACACATCAGGGATTCCCAGCAGGTAAACCTCACTTTCTTTATTTTTATTCTTTAAATCAATCATAAAACTCCTAGATCCTTGATATTATATTGTCTATTTAAATAGGCCGTAGTGGCCGAGTTTGTTAAGGCATAAACTTAGTAATCTTGATTAAGAAATGGATTCCGCCATGAGAGGTAGAAATGTATTTCGTGGCAGACCTACGGATAAATAAAACTTCTCAGTCCAGTTAAAATAGGTTGGTAACCTGTAGGATAACCTTAGTTTAGAGAAGCCTAAACTCAGTTTAACATTTTTAAAAAAAATGGTCTATCTGGCAATGTTTATAACCTGAACACTGATAATTGTGATAAGGCACTGATAATCCCTATCTGCCAATGGTTATAACCTGAAGGTACTTGTGAGCGAAGCGGGCTCTATGGACTGCTATCTGCAGTTATCTTGTTATTTAAAGTGTTGTTGTTGTTATTTATATTTCTTATTATTATATATATATTAATAAGAAAAGGCAAAAAAGAGGCAACACAAAATATATTTATATTTTTTATTATACGAGAGTCTAATTTCATATGAATTATCAGTGCCTTATAACAATTATCAGTGTTCAGGTTGGTACTTGTGAGCGTTGCTAGCTCTATGGACTGCTATCTATTGATAATTGCTATAAGGCACTGATAATCCCCATCTTCATATGAAATTAGACTCTTGTATAATAAGAAATATAAATATATTTGGTGTTGCCTTTTTTTTGCCTGTTTTTTATTAATATATATTAATGAGAAATATAAATATAATAATAATATAGTAATTTAATAATAAGAAATATAAATAACAAGATAATTGCAGATAGCATTCCATAGAGCCCGCATAGCTCACAAGTACTGGAAAATTTAACACTTTTTACTATGAATAAAATACATAATTATGTCATAAAATGTTAGTTTTTAAGTTAATTTCTTTTTATATTTATGATAGGGTGACGACAGTCCCATCATATATTTTCCTATAGCTTGGTATAGAATAGATTTTCTCCAGTATTTATTCTTGATGTCAATGAATCTTTGTCCTCTATGGTAGGACATATGTCGGTATGATGAGTTATCATCTCTTCTTCATGGCATAAGGGACATGTGGGGCTGTCCCCACTCCAATTTTATGAAAATTTACCTGAAGGTAGTCATGCCCACAAATCTTCCTTAAATAAGCAACTAATTGTCCCCAAGCAACTGAATATGATATGCACTCTTCTTGCCCTAAATGAGCTTCCATTTTTTTTGTTCTGCTGATTTTGGTTAGTGATACTGACTCTAGTTATTGGATTTTCAGAATCATATTGCTCTGGATTTATTAGCTCATTCTCAAATAATCCACAACAGATTGGAGGAGGGGCTCTTTTTTACTTAAGTACCATCAGTTACTTTTTGTCACTTATTAAGAACTGTTAACGATTTTTCAAATACACATGATTTAATAAATTATTAAAATTGCACTAATAAGGATATTACCTTAATTATAAACTATGTATAATGTTTTATTAAGTTTGTGAAATTAAAAAAAATATATTAAGCTCTTAAAGTTAAATAACATTCTTTCATCACAAATGAAGAGCATCAAAATGATGATGAAGAAAGCAACATTATGCAGAAAAAGGAAATAAAATATTTCTTCATTTCAAAGTTAACCTATTTTGTGTTTCTCTATTGTTTAATATTTTGAATAAAACATTTATTCTTTTATGGCATATGGTTTCTAAATAATAACTGTTATTTTATTAAAAGTAACTGTTGCTAAGAGTGACTAGTGATACTTGTGTAAAAAAGATTCCAACTTGGTACCCATTGAAACTCAATTGAACCTACTTTGTTTTTTAAAATTAATTTATGATCTTCCTGTTAGCATCAACTTCTGCAGGTTAGGTTAAGTTGTTTTTGGAAACCCAACTTCTTAGACCATCAATTTCTGTGTATCATTGTTGCTATTTGAATTCTTCATAATTGCTTTAATCCACCTTGCAGCATATAATATGCTCCAGTATGTAACTAAGTTTTTTCAATGAATTTAATTGTAATTTAGTTAGAATTACCCAAGAATAATGCTGGAGTATATTATATGTTGAAGTGAAGAATAAAGCAGCCCCAAAACGTTCAAATAATAATTAAAGGATTACAAACTTTTTTTTTTTTAGTTTTGATCTGTGGGCAGTTGTGGAGGAGAAATAAACTGTAATAAAAAAGCTCAATAATATAAACTAATCAATAATTATTACTTCTTTTCTTTTCTTTTTGTTTTTTTAATTTTTATTTCCTAGAGTTTGTTGTCTTTTTTTTTTTTCAAAAGGGATCAAATAATATATTGTTTCCAAAAAATATAATTGCGTCTTCTCAAGTTGTGTATGTAGTTTTCATAGAATGTTATTTTTGCTGACTATTTTATTTAATTCTCAGAAAACCCGGTTGTTTCACTGAACTAAAAAGTTTTCCAAATTAAAATTGTGCCTATTTGGAAATAGACTTCTCAAGTATTGTTTAAAATGATTGAATTTTAGATAAAGTAGGACTTTTAGCATAAATTTGGAATTTATTTAGTGAAATACAATTGCATTTTTCTAATAATTAAATACTATTGAAAATATGATTTATTCCATGATTAATTGAATTAGTCTCTGAGCTGTGTTTCACTTTTCTTTTTTTTTGTTTTCTAGTTTGTTTTTAATGTTAATGTTATCATGTAATTATTTTAAATTTTATAATGTTTCACTATCATTTTATTTAACAATTATACATTGTTTCCTAACAAATATATATGTTTATAATCTAAAATGAATGAACACCTGTCTTTGGGGACATAATTCCATTCGGTGGATTGTATATTTAAATAAATAAAATGATGTAAATATTATTATTTATTGCACTGTACAATTGTTTTAGTAATATCTTTACATGAACTGTACTTACACTTATCCAATATTATATTTTAGCAAGTAAGCTTTGTATACTATTTTTAAAATATTTAAATTTTATTTATATTATTGTTATTAAATAAATTATTGATTACAGGAGAGTGAAATCTACCAAAAATGTATCCGAGCGCCTCCGAACAGGACAGTGCTGGAGGGAGAGTCGCCACCGCCGTACCGGTCCGCATCGGCGGGTGCCCTGTCCCCGCCGCCCCACGACTGGGCGGTCATCCGCTCCAACTCTGTATCCAACAGGTCAGTAGCTCATCGATAATGTCGTAGTCAAAACAAAATATTGAAACACCTCTCATACCTTGAGATTCTTTAAGAACACGTTTATCTTATTATATCTATTTCTAAAAAAAATTTTCTTAACTCTCACAACACCAAAGTACTTTGTAAGAAAGGCATTTGGAGATTTTCCCTCAAAACTTTACCAATTGTGTGTGCTTCTTAGACTTTCTCGATACAATTATATTGCTCCTGTTCATAAAGATGTTTCCTTAAAATCATTTTTACTCCAAATGTATTAAAGAAAAAGAGAATGAATTATTAAAGAAAATTAGGCAATTCTCTTACATATCAGAGGTGATAGATAGATAGTGAGGTTGCAGTCATTTTTTAAGATTTTTAATGATGTTTTAAACCGAGCTTGTGGTTCATCATCAGGGCTGAAATATTTATATAAGAGATATAATAGATAATAGTTAATAATGATAAATATTAGTGTATGAGTAACAATTTTTTTATTTGGGATCCAAAATTGAAAGTAATGGTAGCACAGAGGTAGAAATCCGAAAAAGGATCACAAATAGTAAAAAGCAGTGGAAATGCTTAACTCTATACTCTGGAACAGCAGTATTTTAATAAAAACAAAACATTGGTAGAAAGATTACTACTATATCAGTTGAAATGGATTTTTGGAGAGCAGCTAGGATATCGAGGATTGGATAGGTAAGAAACACCATTACAAGGGAAAGAGTGGATATAAAACAAAATATCCTAAAGGTCATGGAATAAAGGAGAACCAGGTAGTATGGGAGACAAATGGGCGATGGTAGGATACCAAAGATAATTTTGGATTGGGAGGGAGAGAGTAGAAGAAGGATACGAAGACACCCAGTTAGATGGAAGGATAGAGTGGTCGAGAGTATAGCTGATAGGAGACTCCCAGAGGAAAATGCGATGGATCGATGGAAAGAGACTTGCTGAGGCAGGGAATTTGATTGAGGAAAGCTTCATATTGAAGAAATTGCTAACGAAAAATAATGAGTAGTAATAATAAAATAATAACTAATGTAGAATGATGTGAATATTTGATGATATAGCTAAAGAGAATAGGTAATAAGCTATACTAACTATAAAATAATATACATAATAAATTTAAACAAATGTAAAATTTAATATTCATTTCACCAACAATGAGGGTGTTACCGGTACCTAGGTTAGTAACTGAAATAGTTGGAGCCATTAGTTTATAGTTTTTATAGCTCATTACCTATTCAATTTACCTATCTCATCATGTATTTACACCAATTTACAATATTAATTATTTTATTATTATTACTCACATATCTATTTATTATTATTAACTTTTATTTATTTTTTTTCCCTCTTGCTTCCTTGTCTTTTGGACAACACAATATTCCATTGTTGTTTTTTTTATACAACAATAAGTTGGGCTTTTTCTTGTTATATTCCTCTTTTCTTGTTATATTTCTATCTTGGAGTTACTCCAGGTTGAGACTCTGAAAGTATTCGTCTAAACTCCCATACTGAAATGGGCTTTGTTGTATAGGTAGTTTTCTACAGTGATGAAAAGAGGCAAATCTCCTTCGTTGATACTGTAGATACTTGTGTTCCTTATTAGCTTGGTCCTCAGTGCCTCAAACGCAGTGCAGTTGGTGATCACATGCTCAGCAGTTTCCAGAATATTACAACTGGAGCATAGGGGATCGATGTTTTGTCCAAAACTGTGTAACTTGGCACGAAAACCCCCATGTGCAGTGAGGAATTGAGAGACCCAATAGTGGTTTGATCCATCTGGCAGCTAGTCGAGACTGTGCGGTGGGAAAATACTTCCTTAGGGTAGTCCCTTTAGTGGTAGTGATCCACCACCTGTTCCACTCTTTGACGGTAGCTTCTCTCAATATTCATTTCCATCTATTAGACCGTTCCTCAATCCTCATTCCAAAGTCCTCTGGATTTCCTGCCTGGCCTTTTCTCCTATAGGCATATTTGATCAAGTCTTCTTGCAGGAGGAGATCGAGAGGTATCGCCCCTGCTAAGATATGCACTTTGGTGACCCGCAGCAGAGCCATCCTCTGTATAGATGTTAACTTGTTCTTCTTTCGCTTTGGGAGGTTCAGGTACCATGAGGGGGATGCATTCCTTAATATACTCAGCACCACTCCTTTGTAGATAATCTTGGTCGCTGGGTATCTAAAGTCCCAAAAAGCTCCACCAACAGGACTGAGTCCATTTAGGGTGACAGCCACTCTGTTTGCCAAGTAGTCCAAGTGAAGTGTTATATTAAACTTTCTTCCAAATCTTACGCCGAGATAGGTTACTACCTCACTTGGACTAATCGTTTCTTCTTGTATCTCCAAGGCGATTGGATGTTCCCTCTCTTCCTTCGGTTTTGGCAGTAGCCATGCTCATTCTCCTACTTACACACCAGGAAACTATCAAATTAGTGCATCTTTCTGCCTGCATTATGACCGCTGCTCTATCGGTTGCCACCACAGCGGCTAAGTCGTCAACATACGCCGTTACTGGTAACCGCTGCTCTTCTAATGCCCCCAAAAGCTCACCGAAAACTAAGTTCGACAGAGCAGGACCAAGAACAGATCCATCATTTATTAATTATTAACTATTACAGATTATATCATATTGTTGTTATAAATATTTCAGCCCTGATGATGACCCACAAGCTTGAGTTGAAATGTTGTCAATAAAAATCTTAAAAATTGACTGCATCTTGACTATTTATCGTCCATGATAAAGAGAAAACAGATATCCTATAAGAGTATTAGTTAAAAAAATTTCACCATAAAATCTAATATTTAATACTTTATTTACTTTGTAAATATATATTTTCAGTATGTTTTTTATTTTCACTTACTTTTATGGATGTACGTGAAAATTTTCAAATCTGAGTTTTTTTCAGTATTATGTTAATGGTATAATTGTAACTTTGCAATAACTTATTATATATATTTTTTATTTCAGATCCCCACCAACAGTGCAGGTTCCCGCGGGGAAGCGACTGTCTGCGCTGACGATGGTGCCCTGTTTGACAGCACCGACGCCTGCCAAGCCCAAGCCGCGGTCGCCTCCACTTCTCTGATCTTCGGCACCTACCTGCCTCTATTTATATATATATATACACACATATATATTCCATTTGTTAATCGATGTGCGAGTGGACGCTTTATCTCTCCCTCCCCTTCTTGGACACTGGCAATAAAGACATTATTTAATTTTGTGAAGTGAGACATTTCCGGCCACTAACGACTCTAGTGGAGTGAGTGTGATTGTTAATGGATTTCGATATTTATAACGAAAAAGTTAATGAAAAGACTATTTGGATAAATATAAATAGGTCGAAACGATTTTAATTTATTCGACGAACTGTAGCTAGTGCAAATTGTAAATGTACAATGTACCCTACGTCCCTTAGCTTCTACACCCCCCTACTGTGTGATTGTTAGATCTATCGCTATTGGAGAAACATCAGTGAAAAAAACTCTAGTTGAATTTGATATTTATAAAAAAAAATTGTTTATTTTGTTTTTCGAAACTTTTGTCCTCCTAAATATTGTTTTTAAAAGCATGTATTATATTATAAATATATAAATATTAATATAGTTATAATTGAAAAATATAGATTTTAAGATTATTTATATAGACACTAGACAAATAATAGCACCCTTGTGATCTTTTGGGGTGTACATTTTTATTAATTTGTATTTTTTCTTCTTTTTTTTCTATTTAAACATTATGATGATCAGCATCTTGTGAATTTTGTGATTTGAACAGTGATTTATAAGTAAAATTAAAAAAAAAAATATTAAAATAAAATTATATAATTATTTAAAATGATGGATATAAATATTAATAGCTTTATAAAGGGTGTTTCTAGTGGGATTGCTAATAAATAAAACAATTTATAATTTATATTTTATACTCTTCTATAAAGGCTTTAACATTTTTACATATACATTCTGAACTATGTATGTGTAGACACCCTTATATGTTAAGGGAATTACATTTAGCCCCATGTCCTCAATCTTTGCACCGTACCACTTGCCCGAAATGAATCACATTTTCTGTGTAGACTGTATTCTAGATAAATATAGAGGAAAATAAAGATGAAATTAATAAACAGGTGATGGCATTTTTTTAACACAGAGCCTCTGGTAGTCTATATGTCTAACGTACATTAAACCATTTATTTTATATATCTTCTCTGTACATGTTGGATAATAGACATATTGTTTTCCTAATTTAATAGTAGCGATTTTTAACTCGAACCTATTTATAAAAATATACAATAGTTATTTGTAAAATATCGTAAGGATAAGATTAAAAGAAGGGAAGTGGTTGTAAGGACTAGATCAAATCACTACAAATCCAAATATTTTTATCAATAGAACTGTTAATCGAGTATTTATATTCAATCATTTACTGATGAGGTATCGGCTGAACAAGCTATTAGTAGAAGATTTGAGAATTTAAGAGAAACATAGCACATAATTTGTTATAATAAATGAATAATGTAAATTAAATGATGTAAATGTTATTACATGTTCACGATGTGTTTCATTTTTAAAAACTAAATTGTATCCTAAAATTAAGAGAAAAAAATCATTTAATCGGTGTCAAAAAAAAAAAAAAAAGAATACTTTGTATATATGCATTATTGTTTTAAGGTGCACATTATGTCTAAGGTCGACTGAATGTAAATACAGAGCACAATAATTATTGTATATATAGTTATATATGGGTTTAATTATATATAAATATATATACACAAACAACATGAATACACATATTGACCTTTATATATACCCAGTTATGAAGAAAAGCAGAAGTATATGTAAAGGTAGTTGATACTGCCAACATTAATGTGCTGATTGTAACTGAAGCCCAGTTGTACCTGCACACTTATATTGTATTATAATTAAATGTTATTGGAAGGTGATAGTTCACCTGGAAGCAAGTACTTGTGATAAAAACCCAGACTGCATCAATATATATAATATATATAAATCTTTCCAGTTGATATATATTTAGACAATTAATAAGAATGTATTGTTTAATATGTACCAGTTGTTAACATTACTGTGTACGTTTCTTTTTCACTTTTTTTTTTCTTTTTTTAAAATTCTTTTGATATCGTTTTCAGTATATTAATCAAACTTCATTGACTTCGATAAACAATAATACCAATTAGGGATACCAGCTGATGAATAATCCGTTTTTATTAACAATTAGAAATTAAAGGAAGCTTTGCTTTGTAATCCAATATTTATTTGTAGTAACAATATATTATAAACAAAAAAAAATTATTTACTTTAGATAAAATATTACTGCACTGATATCAGAATCGAAATCTCATTCATCTGGTAACCCTAATAATGAAAAAAAAAATGGACCTTAAATGACAGGATATTAAGCAAATTAAAAAAAAAAGTGATAACATAATAAATAAACGATTTGTTTGTGACAGCCTACATAATGGGAAAAAGAATTAAATAAAAGTAATGTTTTTGTAAGGCATTATCAAGTTTTTTTTCTCCTCTCTCCTTTACCAATTTCTTTTTGTTCCTTTTAGATTCAATTAAACACTTCATAAGGAGCATATCTATAAAAATCGTCTTTTATTTTAATACAATTTGGTGGTCTAGGTTCCATTAATTAGGTATCTGAACTAACAAATATTAAATAGAGAGAAATACAATAAGATTGTATTGCTGTTCAACTGAAACAACATACTAATCTATCTGGTAGACAATATCTAACCATTCAGCTTGATATACTTCCTATATAAAAATGTCATTTGTTGTTCCTTTCTTTTCTCTCAATTCCGTCATCCGGATTTATAAAGCAATGACTTGATTTAATAGATGTGATGGTGCACGATTCCCAATGAGACCAAAATAATGGACTCTGCCATACTCTGTATTTCTACCTTTTCTAACACCTAGCTTTTCCAAAAAAACTAGCAGTTGAACATGGAATTGCCCTTCTACTTCCAAACCAAAGTTCTCGTATCAAAAAATGTCTCTCCAAAATCCTCTCAATATTTCTCTTTTAGGTACGGAATACATTTTTTATATATTTCCTACTTCCCAATTTGTATTTTGAGATGTTTCTGCTCATCCTTCAAATATCAAGATATCTATGAATCTTGCTGAGCCTTCCGCATTCAGACAATACACTTTGAGAAAGCATTGGTAGAAGAAATGGTTGAAGAAAAATATCGTTGAGGGAAGAGAAAAAGGACAGCAGAGAGCGATAAACAAATTTCTAATGAATTTTTATAGCTCTTAATCAAACACACATATACACCCATCCTTTTATTATTTTACAAGAATCCCTCACTTTCCATAAAAAAAAAAAAAAAAGAGGAAGATAATAAGGCAAGAAGATACGTCTCCTACCAATCACAAAAATCCTGATATTACTTTAATACTGTTGCTCCAGTTTGATGGATGAGCTCAAGATCACATGGTCACACTATAAATGAAATTTCGAGAATATTGACTACTTGTTCATGGGTATAGATAGCTTCTCTTTATAACATCTTAAATGGCGATTTGTCTAATAACACACTGCTGCCATTAATTATTTATTAATTAAAGTCAACCATCACTGGTACCATTTGTCAAGGATGTACTATTGCAGAATCTTATTCCATCTTCAAGATTCTTGATAGATCCTCACATGAAGATTCTCCCGTAAACCTGCAGAACCTTGTCACACTATCTAATGCTTCAATTTCCTGCAATAGTAGATCGAAAGATAATCCAGCTGGAATCTGTACCTACTCAAACCAGAGCCACCTACTGAATTGACCTGCAGATTAATAATCTGCAGAATAACCGTTCCTCGTTAGAGTACTTAAATTAAAATCCATCTAATTACAAGAGGGTTACCTCATAAACTGATATGCCATCTCATAAAATGATAAATATATAGAAACACAATAATAGTAGATTTGTCTCAGTTGACTTAAAATTTAATTAGCTTAACCCAATGGAAAATATCTCTTCAATTAAGCTATTAGGCTCAGCTATCCTTAAAACTAATTCTAACCCAATATTGTAATCGTTTGTATTGGGTAGGCAAATAAGTCCTTTCAGTTTTTCTGTTTATTTTTGTCACTATGATGCACTTTTTATCTGATGAATTAATCCCTAAGGTGGATTGTTTATCCTGTTTGTAATATGTCAACAACTATATCTGTTAACTCTTGTTGAAACTAGCTTAGTACTGTGTTTGCTATTGCACTGTGAATATGGAAAATAATATCATTCATTATCAGCATATTTTGTTGTATTATTTTAATAAAGGTGAGCGTGCTGCAGAAGCCCATAGAAAAATTTAGTGATTATGGGGATGATGCCTTAGCCGAACGCACCTGTCAAAAGTGTTTTGCCAATTTTCATTGAGGAAGTTTTGACATCAATGATGCTCAACGGTCTGGTCGCCCACATGAAATTGAAACGAGCAATGTTAAGGCCATTGTTGATCAAAATCCCACCCAATCAGTGCGAGAGATTGCTACGGCCCTAAATGTGTCGCACACAAGCATATATACCATTTGTACAAGCTCAGCTATGTTTCCAGACTTAATGTTTAGGACCCTCATGATTTTTTTTTTAAAATTACAAAACAATGTCATGAATTCAATATTACTTTAGGTATCTACAAGAAATTTAGCAGGAATTTATGGCCACATAAACTACATAAAATGACATCAACAGGATCTTCGTAAACAAACTACAAATGGAGATATAAAATAAAAACCTATAAGCAGTTTTTCTTTATTTATTCCTTATGTTGGCATTGAATCAAAAAATCATTCATACGTCTTTGAAGAACAATAATTCAGCGTTCCAATGGATATAGTAACATTGAATTTGGAGAACACCCTGAAGAGTTATGAATTGAGCCTTGGGTGGGACCTTTTACCCCACTTTCACTATTCACCAGACCTAGCTCCATGTGACTACCACTTTTTGCGTTCTCTGCAGAGCTCCATGAATGGAAAGAAATTCCAAAAGGAAGAGGACATCAAAAACCACTTGGATCAGTTTTTTAACAATAAACTGCAGACATTCTATATGGCATTATGCAGTTAGGGAAAAGTCATATTAAATAATGATCAATATTTTGTAGATTAAAATAAATTTTATGGCTATAATAGATTGAGTTTTATTTCACTCTGAAAAACTGAAAGGACTTATTTGCCAACCCAATAGTTATCTTTCTTATACAGAGTGGAGCATAGAAACAGGACTTGGATAAGACCACCATAATTACGTAATCCGTTGTACAGACCCCTGTTTATCAAATTATTAACATTTATCTAAAACTTCATGAATGGCCTCGGCTTATCGTAATCTGCAACTTTTAAACTAATTAATTTAATGAGATATTAAAAATTCATGAATAACGATTTGCTTTCAACTTGGATTAAATTGAACAAAAATATTGGGCCGTTATAACCTTGTTATTTGGATATGTTGAGGTGGAGGTCATGCCAAATGGCCCAATATTTTGTAGGTCACCTATTTTCTCAATTTTGTGATCAAATTATTTTACAATTCAAGTGTAAAGCAAACAAATAGATGTTCATGAGTTTTTAGTACCTCATTAAATAGTAAAAGTTTATCGATCTCCAGATTGAAAACGTCTCGTTATCCAGAACTATCGTAAAATAAACATAAACATAAACACGACTGATGACCTAATAGTGGAGGATATAATTTTGAAAATGTCACAAAATTCAAATACCTTGGCACAATTGTAAATAATAAAATCCAGAATTCAAAATGGCAATAAATACTATTGGGCATTCAGGAAAATTCTTCTAAATTGAAACATATCCCCAGGAATCGAATTAAGGATATATAAAACCACTCTCTGACCACTAGTGATGTATGCCAGTGAGACGTGGATCCTTTCGAAGCAATGGGAGAGTTTTCTCAATACATGGGAGAGGAAAATCCTCTGAAAAAGATATGACACAACCAAAATCGAAAATGGATATAGAATAAAAACTAACAAGGACAGCCAGATTTGGTTACGTATGTCAAAGAAGGAACGATAAGATTGTTAGGACACGTACATCGAATCAGGAAAGACTCCCAAGGAAGTCTTTACAATAGATTTTTAGTCTGTCATTGACTATGATAAATAATAATACTTTAATTATTAAAAATATAAATGTATCTCTTGGCAACGATGATATCTAGAAGGCTTTTGGCAAGAATAGGATTTATTTTGAAAATGGTTGATTTTAGGGTTTTACAGTGCAAGGTCAGTATATTCTGAGGGAACTTTAGCTGGTCTTGAAGTCCGTATCGAAATTTTTAAAACATTAAGTTTCCCCATATCCAATCCTCAATTTATCAACATTATCGTTTTGAAACCTCCAACCTTTCATGATGACTTTTAATACTTTTTAGCTACACTTTTCATTAAAGTTGTAGGAATTCATGGGTCGACATTGATTACTTTTTCATAAAATTCTATTGTTTGACACATCATTTGTCTAAATCACAGGTCTCCAAACCAGGACCCGCAAGCACCTTTAATCCAGCTCACGAAATTTTCTTTGATATATGATAAAATTTGAAAAACTATTTAAAAATATGAAAATTAGCAAATTACTCGCACATGAGGCTACTAATACACTTATTGCATGGTATTTTTCCTCTTAGAAAGCTCATTTAGCATCTTAAGTGTCGTTTATAGAAAAATATATATTTTTTTTAATCACAAGCTATGAGTCGCAGGACTTGAACGGATGTCTCAATACGGCCCATGCAAGTTATTCAAGGTTTCAATTTTGCCCACGGGAATAAAAGTTTGGAGGATCCTGGTCTGAATCCATCTCTCCTCAGAGATGAAAAAGAAATCTATGTTACTCAATTATAATTAATACATACTAATCTAATACAGAACTGTTAACTTAATAAGATGGAATAACAATAAATAGACAAGAGATTAATGGAATATATTTCATCTTTTAAGAGAAAAATACATTTAATACAGTCTCATAATGGAATGATTCAATAGCTAGAACACACAAATTTATCATTATTCAGTCATTCATGTTTACAGCTATTCAAAATGTCTCGACAAAAAGATAAATTTAGTTTACCATTAACAATAATTGTAATAACTACAAAATAAAATACTGACTAAAGAGGACACAGGTGATGGAAGAAATGCATATGATCATTTCTTTTAAAACAAATCTTAAAAACTATAATTTATTTACACATAAATAAATTAATAACTATATCAATTCATAATTCATTTAAAAATAAAGATAGGAATCGTGTAGCAGACTTTTTATCAATATAAATAAGATCTATATCACACACGTGTAAAATACAGAAATTGTCAAAATACCACGATCGAAAATATATTAGTTGACTTCTCGTTTTAATATTTATATATATGTACATAATATTTACAAATAATTCCATCTGTACAAAATATACAATCATGAAAATATGAAGTTGTTCAGTTTATAATATTCTACCCATTTCTTTGGTTCGGTTCAGCGATATCGTTCGTCTCTATAGATTTGAGGTCCCTCCTTTTTGGCATTTCGGCGACGATGGAATCCGCTTTGTTGTCAAGAAGTTGAGGAGAGTCGTTGAGGATTGGCTTAGGGTCAGACAGATGTGAGGAGAATTTAATCAACGGATCTTGTGGCTTATCAACGCTATTGATTGTAGTATTTGGGATAAGAGGTTTTTCCGCTTCTGTTTTTTTACCATTTTCTTCAATAGAACCGTTTTTCGCACACGATCCTTCCTCTGCATTAACATCCTTAGCAGGCTTAGGCTCCTCTTTAACCTCAGCAGATTTTTTTAATTCTTTTACCGGCTGAGGTGTCGTCGACTGTCCTGACAATTCGATTTCCAAGGAATGAGCCCTTTCGGTCAATTCTTCTACATCACGCTTTTCTCTCAACTCGGCAGGATCACCGCCAAGAATATCCCTTCCTACTTTCTCTACTTCATTTTCTAATTTCTTCTCTTCCTTTTCTTTCTCGACCATCTGTACCTTCCCCTTGACAGCCAAGGGTAAAGGAACACCCTTCGCCATACTGACGACTATCGGATCTTCATGAATCGGGCTTTCAGGTTGCACCTTTTTCTCTTCTTTTTTCACTTCTGGTACATTTATTTCCTTAGCATTCATGTCTACATTTTTAACAATAGGTATGGCATTTTTATTTAAATCTGCACTTGTATCCTTGCTACCGTTAGATCTAGTCTCGGCCTGAACTACCGTTTTCAATTCTTTTATAAGTTCTTCTCCTTTAGCAATCAGCTCATCCTGAGCTTTCTGATGTTCCTTAATTCTTTCGATAAGTGTTTCTTTTTTATTAGATTCTTTTTCTTTATTTTCGATAACCCTTGCGTTTTCTTTTTCTTTCACATTGATATTTTCCAATATAACTTCCTTTTCCAATTTCTTAGGTGGTTCAGGTAAACCTGCTATCTTCTTTATTTCATCTTTGACGGAATTGTCAACAACAGAATCGACTTTCAGCGGAGTATCTACTTTAGGAATATTATTTTCTTTAGGCGGATTCATATCGGAGAGAACATTTTTGGGAGGAAGCTCTAACTTGGGAATTTTTCTTTCTTTCTTTATATCAACGGGTTCCTCGGGCACAGGAGGCTCCCTCTTCACCTCTTTACTTTCCATAATATTCCCTTTGTTAACGTTTTCTTTTAATGTTTCTTTCTGATCCGCAATGATCTTAGATTCAGATTTCAAATTGGGCAAGGCAGCAACGAGTTCATTGACATTATTCAACTTCTCTAAAGTTTCATCTTTGATTACAACTGAAACAGAAAAAGAGATAAAACATCATTAGCACCTGAATCGATATAAAAAAAAAAATTAACAACAGCTTTATAAAGCTATTCGTCCACTAGGTCGGTATGTAAGTGTTGTGCAGTACCATGCACCAGTAGTATTAATTCACTGGAAAATCACGTCATGCATCAACACCGACCTATTGGACGAAGCCTTTAAGTTAGAATTTCCGTTTATTTTCTAGATAAATTAATATTCTAATTTTTCTATTTAAAAAGCCATATTAAGTTATTCTGTTTTTATAAAAAAGTTTCAACTCGTAAGGAATATAGTAGTAATAATAAACTTAGTAGTAAGAATATAGTCTACCTTTTGGTAATATAGGATTCGAAATCGAATCTTGCAATGGAGGTCGTGGTGGTTTCACATCAGGTTTGGAAATGGCTTCCTCAGTCGCATACAAATTGGTATAAGTTCCAAGCACCATTATTACGAGACCGATGAACACCAAAGCCTAGAAAAACAAAAGTAAAATTGATAAATTTATTTTTGATATCTTAAAATCAAGGGTTTGAAATAAAAAGTGTATATTTATCAGTTCCGATTTACTTTTGATTGTTTTTCTATTACTTTGCAAAGCTTCTAGAAATTCTTTCCTCATTTATTTTCGTTTTTACAAACAATTTTTTAATTATTTATCTGGAAAAAAATAGAGTTGATGAAAGGAATTTGACCAGTCTGCACAAATAGGTTACAGGAGTGCAATATATTATTTTAAATAATGATGGAAATGTCTGTTGGCATTTCTTTGGCCACGTTAATAACTTACTCCATCTCTGCCAGTTATTTGCACGCAGCTCTGTTGTATATTTGTTGATTTAATCTATCCATCTCCTTTTTGGCCTTCTACGCGGATTTGCCCCGCCCATCTTAACCTCCGTTCCAAAGTAAAGTAAATTTTATTTTCTTCAGGAAAATGAAAAACAAAAATGAATAAGGAAAGAATTTCTTAAAAATATACACATGTTGACCAAAATATATAAAACTTAGTAAATAAAGATTTTTTTTTTAAATCTTGAGGTTTAGTTTAATTCCTGAAAAGCATTTAATAGAACAAAGAACAAACATTCTAAAAAAATTGTAAATTCAAGTAGTAAAAAAGTTATTTATGGTAAATGTGATCAATCTTCAAAAACATTTTCGATCCCTTTTCATTAAAATATTAACATCCACCAAAAACTTCATCTTATCATAACCTACAATTTTTTGATTTATGAAAATTCACATAAATTAATTAATTTCATTATATACTTAAAACTTAAAAATACCCATTTGCTTTCCACTTGAATCGTAAGATAATTTGATCACAAAATCGAAAAAAAAAAAAAGGTTGCCTACAAAAATATTGGGCTGTTTGGCCTATATAATCTCGTTATTTTGACTTGTTGGGGGTAGAGGTCACCCCTAATGACCCAATATTTTTGCAGGCCACCTTCACTCTCGATTTTGTGATAAAATTATCTTACAATTCGAGTGGAAAGCAACCGGGTATTCATAAGTTTTAGTACTTAATTAAATAGACACAGTTTGCAAAAAGTTCCAATTCACAGAATTTTCGTAAATAAAAAATTTGTAGGTAACTATGAAATTAAGCTTTACACTAAGTTTTAGGCTGATGTTAATAATTTTATAAAAAAGAGCCTGTATCATAAAGTAATACTTATACAGAAGTATAATCCGCTTCTAAAATTTTAAACTTTCATTCTTTTTTTTTAATATTTTCTAGATAAACGTTCATATTTGTAAATAACCTACTGAAAGTTAATTTTAAATAATGTTTTTTGGTGGGAATAGGCGAATAGCCTTCCGTTTGTATATTGGGGAACTTAGGTTATTTACACTCGTAATTATTAAAACAAATCCCCGGCACTGGATATAGAATTTTTTGAGGGTGTTTAACTGTCGTTGGGAATTCGTGAATCTAATACCTTTTGTGACACTGAGTGAGAAGAAACAATAAGAACATATATATATACGAAATGTGGGACTTAGTAAACACACTTAGAATGGATTGACTCACCTGGTTTGTTATTATTCAATCGTGAGGCATATAGGACAACTAAATAAAATGACTTTTCACTCCGGTATAATAAAACAATTTATTTTAACAACTGTAATAAATAAATGTATAAAAGTCTTATAACTGTAGCCTTGATATTCTTGGTCTTCAATGTAGCAGGCCTCTCTTCCCATTCCTTTCACCTCCGTCCTTGTGCCTCAAGTTCACCATCTGTTGCCAGCTACCTGATCGGACCTTTTTCCTTCTTTTCGATTGTTTATCGATATGAGATTTTCCAATGAGCAATTTGTCTACTGCACCATCGAGTACAATTCACAGTGCAACCTCACATTCCTATATACTATATATTCCTTCTCATTCCCTCACACATTGTCATCTAAAGGAGTAAATACAGGGGGATGTCTACTACATATTAGATATAGCAGGTTTGGATTGTAAATACCTCAATCGGGATAAGCATGCAAAAATAAACTATTCCAATTTACCTTAGCCAGTAGCCGTTCGTTATTGCTCTTTGACGACAGCGACACGAAGATGACGGCCGGGATGACGACACAGATGACAACACCGATGGTCGACCCAACGAGCCCAAGAACCAGCTCAATGTTAGGGATGAGGAGTCCGATGACCAGCGACAAGGTGACTATCACCAGAGTGATACACTGGAACCTAGACTCGGGGATGTGAGCAGATCCAGTCTGTGCATGCTCATAGCCCTGCATCAGATAAAGCAATTATATATCAAACTATTCATAAAAATAATTTTTAAAAGATCTGGGGCAGTACACACATCACACAACTTTCACATACTACCCTTTTTTTTTAGCAGAAATAAGTATTTTCAGACAAAGGGAAGTGAAAGTAAAATTTATAGACGGTTCGAAATATTCTTTAAATTATAAATTAACTACTATATGTTTTTCGCAGCTGTCTAATGCATTATATTTATGTGTTTTGTCACTAAACTTTCCCTTTTACGAGTATATTTTAATTATTTATATGATTATAATAAATCATTAAGCGCCACAAAATATTTTTAGTCTGACAAGAGTGGCACTATATTTATGCATATGTCATAGTAGGTATTTTTATTTGTTTAAGCATTGGTATATCTACAAATTTTAATTTTAATATTGCTGTAATCTATACTATTAAATAACACCAATTTTAGCATTTATGAAAACCACATACAAATATCTTTATAATATTATCAGAGCTCGTATTATATTAACAACATGTTACCAATAAATTTCAATACCGATGTTTCACAAACATTTTTCACCGATGTTTCAATACCGATACTGATGTTTCAATACATTGAAATTGTCTTTATTATAAAAATTATTTATCTAACCATTGTATACTTGCTATCAAACTAAGCTATATTTATATTGATTGACACCTTTTGCTGATGTTCATTTCATTACTAGCCAATAGTCACATTTCTGTAACCATATGAAATAACTCAAATATTGTACACGTCTGAAATATTTAGTCAGCAAATTATGTATATTCTACAAACATAAATGTTACCCCTCCTTCTCCTCTAACTATGTTTACCTACCTTTTGCTATCTGAAAAAGGGCAACTGAGAAATTCTCCACCCCTGACCTTTTTACTTACCTACCAAACATGTGTCAGTACTTGAACAACCTCAGTGCTCAAACCACGGTTAGTAAGAGAAAATATTACAAATTTGTAAAAATGGATTATATACATTATTTTTTTATAGTTTTAGTTTGTATAACTATTTACATATTCAATTTTAATATGTGTATTGCAATATTAGTTAGATTCATGTATCATCAATCACTATAGTTAATTATTTATAATTATCGGTCGTATACTATAATATCTCTGATTGTAATTTTAAAAAACATTTTCAGCCCTGAAGATGACCCACATGTTTGGGTTGAAACGTTGGCAAAAATAAAAATAATTAAAAAAGACTGCGTCCTGAATATTTATCACCCTTGATATGTAGAACAGTCGACTAACTTCCTTCAAAAATAACATGTTACATTAATGCCCGTTCTAATTTTTTGGCCGAGCTCAGGCCGCCTTCGTGTTTTTTCGTTTCCTCTATTACTACAATTCTACATGCACGCACGCACCCACTCATACATTAACACACAATTACTATAGCAATCTCTCCCACAGATTGGATAGGATTTTAATCAAAATGGCCATAACATTGCTCGTTTCAATTTCATGTGGACGCCCAGACTGTTGAGTGTCATCGATGTCAAAACCTCCTCAATGAAATTTGGCAAACCAATTTTGACAGGTGCGTTCGGTTAAGGCATCATGCCCATAAACACTGTAAATTTTTCTATGAGCTTCTGAACCACGCTTACCTTTTTTAAAATAATACAACAAAATATTTAAATAATGAATGATATTTACTTCCATATTCAAAGTGCAATAGCAAACACAATACTAAGCTAGTTTCAACAAGAGTTAACAGATATAGTTGTTGAAATATTACAAACAGGATAAACAATCCACGTTAGGGATTAATTTATCAGATAAGAAGTGTATCATAATGACAAAAATAAACAGAAAAACTGAAAGGACTTATTTGCCAACCCAATATTAATGACAACAATTAAGTCATTATCTTTTTGACACTCTCCATTACATCCACAGCAAAACTATAATAAAATAACTAAGTAAAAATATTTTGTACTTCCACATTGTTATATTATAGTAAATGAATCCAATGATGATAATTCAATTTATTAAGAGGCTTAATATTATATTACGATTAAAATTAAATACCTTACTGAAAAATAGGGAGTGGATGCTGGCCCTACATGGAAAGATAACTAATGGGAAGCTGACCGCTACCGACATCAGGAATCCAATTTTGATCACCTCGCTCGTTATCGTCTTTGAGAAGTTCATCATCAGGTTACCTTCAGAATTAAAAAGAAAAAAAAATTAATAAACTTTACACTAGTAAAGTGGAACCATAACCAATTCGAAATGCATTCAAATTACTAAATTGTACCTGAAAATGACTGATCGCAGTAAGCGATGTAGCCGAAGAAGCCGACCGATACGTAGAACATTGTTACCATGTTAGTCGCAGACCTGACTACGGAATTCATTCTATCGAGAGGAGTGCTTGGAGGTGAATCGAATATCTCAAATAATTGCCTAAAAATAACAAAAAAAGTTAATTACGAAAACATTTTTTCACAAGGTAGCAATATAAAACTTGAATTTATTTTTTAGAGCATCAAAACTAACTAAAATGATTTTCTGCATAGTAAAACTTTAATTGAACATCACTTCTTTTTCTGTCAGTTTCTTTTAAATCAACACAAGAATATAATAAAAAAAAATCTGATGCGCGAATCACACGACATTCACTTATCACCCTCTTCTTAGCAGAACCAAGTATTTTCAGACAAAGGGGAAGTGAAAATAAAACTTATAGAAGCTATATTCTTTTTTTAGTCCTGATAAAGGCCTGAACTTCAGGCCAAAACGTCGGCAAATGTTAAAATAAATATTATCATTCATTTTTGCCTTCTTATTTGACTGATCACCCCAACTATTCTTCTCTTCATATATTTATTTAAATTTCATTGTAAGTATTTTTATTTGTTTAAATATCCTTACATATACAAATTTTAATTTTTATATCACTGTATTCTATACAATTAAATATTAAATAATACCAATGATAGTATTTATGAGAACCGCATATGTATATGTACATAATATTGTCGGAGTCCGTATTATATTAAGCTCATGTTACGTATGGAAGCCTGTTGTGATCTTTCGGGCGCGCTGGTACTCCTTTGGTTCCTGCGTTACAACTATTATCCATTACAATCTCTTATTTCTCCTTTAGTTAATTATCAAATTCTTTCATATTTTATATTTAACTATTTTTGATATCAAAGATTAATGTGAAATGGTTAATTATTTACAATAAAAACAATTGAAGGCACTTTAGAAAAAGTTAATATTGGAAATTAGCCTTTAAGCTCTGTTAGAGAAAATCAATGAGAATAACACCTACATTGTATTAAAAACTGCTTAATAATACACTATATAGTGAGTATAATAAAAATCTTTGGAGCCATTTTTGCGAAAATTGTAAAAATGTGTTCAATATTAAGATTGCTCCTAATCATTGAGGCAATCTTAAGTTATCAAGTTTTTATCATAAGCCTTGTTAAATTACAGGTGAGAAAACGGGCACCAATTTGTTATTTGACTCATTCAATTTAAAATAAAATGTTGATTAACTTTCACTCATTTAACCATTTAATCAACACAATTTTGATTAACAAAACCAAGAACTAAATTCAAAAACTTCTTGATTTTTAATTTCAATGATGTAAAAATAAAATATAACTTCAACAATGATATTAACTTTCTTTATTAAAGGTAAGACAGAAATCATTAATTGATTCATTGTTTATTTAAAAAAAAATTAAACTAAACAGAACAATATAGATGAACAGACAAATGACAAATTATTAATTCCAACCAGAATTTAGATAGCCCAATGGACGTTTCAATTATTCCATTTTCTCAAACCTCATTGGTTGAAAAGCTTGAGATCTAAGTGATTCTAAATTTTTCATATAATTTTTGCAAATTATTACAACTTTCATCAACATTAAAACAAAATATTATTTAATTATTTTATAAGTGAAAAATCACTACATTATAAAATAGATTTAGCGTAAAAAGTAAAACTTACGTTTGGCAAGAAAGAGCCATAGAAAATATTGGAATACACTGTAGAATGCCGGACGGCCTCCAATAGTACACTTTGTCGATCCAATCTGCGCTGATCAAGTGTTCGACAGCTTCACCGAGGACCTAGCTCAACATCCAGAAAATATTTAGTATAATTAAAAAATATATCTTGGGTTTATTGTAAAAAAGTTATTAAGTAACACTGAATAAAATTAAACTGCTAAGTTCATTAATGAATTTGCTCTTAATGAAATCAAAACATTAGCCACTTCGCCACAGTTGACAAAATGATTTAAGTTGTTCCTATTATAAATAAATTGGCTAATTATGGATATGTTATCAATTATTTAGTATCACCTGCAAAGAAGAAATAGTCAATAAGGAAGAACTCACTACCCCTTCCACTGGGTAAGCCCTTCTTAATTATAATTTTTTTCATTCAGTTGACGTTTAAATGAACGTTACAACTTCTTGTAAGTGTTTTTGCCATTTTGATGCACTTACTGTGTTTTTACATTGATAAATAATGTAAAAATTAATCAAAAGTTTAGCTTTATAAAAACTATATAAAATCATGATTATTGATTATTAAAAATTTTGAATTTGGTTAGTATAAGTCTAATAATCAAGACAATTAAATATATTGATCAGTTTAACATGTTTCAGTATATTCCAATATGTAAAAAATGAAACTTAAAATGAAGTAAATTGGACATTCTTCCAAATAAATAAGCTATTTTGAAACGATTCAGTTCTTTTACTTTTAAATTAAACTTCTTTTATAATTAATTCAATTATATAAAAAATAATTAAAAATGAAAAGAAAATACATAAAACTTTTAACAAGAAATCTATGATATTAATATTAAACATTTATAATCTGAAAGGAAAAATAAAATAAAACCTTTAACTGAGACCAGTTATGCCAAATCCTGTCAATTTTTCATTTTTCAATTTTACAGGATATCATAAATTATAAGATTTAATAATTATCGGCCTGTTTCTCTGCCAAATTCGAAGTAGAATTAATTGTTTTAATAATATAAAAACATTACAGTTATGAAACAAACCCATAGGTAGAGGCCATCTCAGAGAGGGTTTAATGAAGAAAAAAAAAAGACTTTTTAGAATTTGCTATCACGGGCCTCAAATATCACAGCGAGACTTATGCTTGATCGTCTTGAGCTCATTCGGTCATGCAACGTCTAGCAGCCCAGTAAATTTCACCTTTTATATCTTAAGGTTAATTATAATTTTTTTAATACAACTTCATTATTTGTATAACTAAACAATTTAATAATAAAAATTAAAATAAAATTAGCATTCTACCTTCAATACTAAGCAAGCATAAAAAGCGACGGTAGCAGCACAAACACCACTGAGGCTATCGACGTTCTTCAGCAAACCCAAGGGAAGGACTACGAAGATCGCAATAGCTGAAAAGTAAATAATGTTATAACAAATGAAACATATAGATGAGGTCATCATTCCATAAGTAGATTTTTAAAAATCTGTTTGTTTATGTTCATAATACTAATCGCTCATTTATAGAGATGGGCAGTCCTCAATTATATTCATGATTTGTAAACTTATATTTATATAAGTCATCTTACAAAACTTTAATAATTAGAAAATCGTGATGTGCACGGTGATCTAATAAATTTGTGCAAATGGATATAATGATATAATACACTTGTTGAGAAATCACCCATTGGTAGCACTCAAATAATATGTCTACATTAGGAGATCACTGGTCCTATTTAATATAGAAATTTAAGTAGGACCATGTAAACAGATTTTGAAAATAAATTTACATCAAAATTATAATAAGGACTAAAGCCATTTCAAGATTTTAATTCAATATTTCATATAAAAAGATTTTTTTGCTTATGTTATTGCAGGAAAAACTTGGATCTTTTTATTTTATTTATATTTTTTACTTTCCTACCATAATACTATACTAGGTAAGGAAAGTATTGCAATCAGGTCAAATTTCCGACATGCAGTTTTCGATGGATCTATACATTTCACAGCCGTCTGAGTCAGAAAAACACATTTTTAGCCACTGGTCTGTCTGCCTCTCTGTGCCAAGATTTTCTCGGGAACTACTGAACCGATTTTTTTTCTTCTTTTTTTATTTTGTAGAATTTTTGACTACTGATGCCTGTGACAGAAATTCGTTGCTTCGTGCGCAATAGCTTGCGTGCAATAAGTGAAAAACATGTTTTTCTATTGACTGTAGCGCGAAAACGGCTATAACGATATTGATGAAACTTTTCTATGATGTTCTAATCATTGTCATTTGAATTTTCGTATATAGATTAAATTCCTGAAAAAATTCAGAAAAAAAGTTATTATATGGTAAAATTTATAATAAAACTATTGAAAGGTATTTAAATTACCAACAAAACAAAAAAAAAAAATCATCGGAATCGAACAAGTATTAGCTTATTCTATTTTTTACACATTTTTTTCTCTGAGTCTGAAAAAAACGCCGTTAACCCTGTCGTTTGAAAGGTAATGAAATTCCCTACAAAGCCATATAAATACTGTTCGTTTTGGACAACTATTAACGAAATTACAGCTATTCAATTTCCAATGAAAGATTACGAGTTCATTTTCTGGTGTCAGAAATGGGTGAATGAGAGAATAAAGATGACTAAGTGAAAGTAAGAAAATCTGCCCGAATCACACAATCTTCACTATTTCCTTTACTTTTAATAGAAATTATTGTTTGACAATACTAAGCTATGGCAAAAAGTTTTTGATCATCAATATTAGTGAGTATTGAAATTTTTACACTGATCTACCTTAAGTCGGTTTCATTGCTTTAGTTTATTAAATAAATCGTACTCAAATCTTTTGTTTGATCAATTTTCAGGAAAATGTATCTAGTTCAATTCTTTTTTGTTTCTTCATGAACATATGTAAAGGTATAAAAACTTTTCTGAAATAGGTAGGAAAGTCGTGTGAGTGGACACACCAGATATTTTTTTAAAGGAATTATGGGTATTATAAGGAAAAGTTAGAATAGTTAATATGCATCAACAGAAATAAGAATTTATAAATGTATAATAAAATATAAAAGGTAACTTTGAAACAAACCAATAAGCACGCTCGGCCTAAGCGCTGTCGGGTGTTGAAATCCAAATAATGGGCTCACGATACCAGGCCCGAGGTCGCCCATGATCACAAAGTAGGCGATGCATGTTCCCAGCATGAAACCAATTATACATAGTTCCACCATCAGTTTTCCCGTCGGTCCGAATGCTCTGAATGCTAGAAAAAAAAAATTAAATAAATTATGTTATTATTAAAGATGATATTTCTTGATTATATTGAAAGTTTATCTTGGATAAAAAATAAGTAGGAGATCTAGTAAACATTTATCCTAATTGCCGACGTCCTGATCCAAGATTGTAGGTCATAATCATAGTTCATCATCAGGGGTGATTAAAATTAAAACTGAAATATAAGAAAAAGACAGAAGTACATAAGTAAACTGAGAGAAAAATATGAATAGTACACATAAATTAATCTAAAAATTATAATTATTTAATTTTAATTTTAGCCTTAATGATGACTAACAATCTTGGTTTGCACACATAATAAACATATTATAATCGAAAATCCTGATTATTGATTATTAAAAGTTTTGAAATTGGTTTTTATGTCTAATAATCAAGACAATTCAATATACTGAACAGTTTAACATGTTTCAGTTTCAAAACTTGAAATCAACTAAATTGGACATTCTTCCAAATAAATAAGCTATTTTGAAACGATTCAGTTCTTTAACTTTTTCTTTCAAGTTAAATTTCTTTCCTAATTAATTCAACAATATAAAAAAAAATTAAAAATGAAAAGAAAATACATAAAACATTAATAAAATTACTAAATGAAATTATTGCTTGTTTAATATTTAAATCAGGAGTTCCCGATGCTGTTCCCCAAATTATTTTAAGACAAATTGTGTCTGCCTGACTTAAACTATGACAGCGATCACCATGGCAGCCGATATCTTCATTATGCAATGTTACTGTTTAACACGTTTTTACTAAAATATATAATATTGAAGGCAGTTTATCGACTGTCCTAGATATCATGGATAATAAATATTAAGGATGCAGTCATTATAAAGTTTTTATTGGTGGAGACGTTTCAACCCAAACATGTTGGTCATCATCAGGGTGTGTTTCAAGCACTGAATTAATGTACTTTAATACCTTCACACCCTGATGATGACCCACATGTTTGGGATGAAACATCGATACTTATAAAAAAATGTTATAATGAATGCGCCCAGAATATTTATCACCCAAAATATAAAATAAGTAATTTATGGGGAATATAACGGTGTTTAATTGTAAATAGTCATTTAATGATATCATAGCATTTTAAAAATATTTTCCAGTCAACCAGCATTATTATTATTTTTTTTTTCAAGAACAGAATGTCTAATTACTAGATTATTAATTTATTATTAAATTATTGAATTGTACTCGTATTCTCGATATTATAAAATACTTCAGAATAAAATGCAATTTAAATATCACATTATCTATAACATATTTTTAATATATATTTATTATTTAATTAATATATATTTATATTTATGTTTAAATATATATTATTTTATATATATCTAAAAGAAATTGATATATAGTTGAATTTTTAATTATCTTATTATTTTTAAATATATTAGTAACTTTTTTTAGATGGCAAATTTTTTAGTTATTATTAACATAAAACATAGAAAATTCGAAGAAAAACACAAACAAATCAATGACCAATAAATTGACTATTAACCAAAGGTTGAAATTTTTATAGATTTTTTTTAAATGTGTCATTTTAACATTTCCTATAAAGCTTTTTAGGAAAAAAAAAATCTTAAAACAAAAGTTCTAAGGAATTTTTTATGAAAAATTTGTTGGCTTTGGGTAACTTTAATTTTTTTTATGTTTTGAAAAAATGTGGGTAATTATAAAAAAACTGTAATTGGATCTCGATTAGAGTTTATATTTATCTTAAATTAATTACTTGAATAAATATTTTGATGAAATTAACAAACTTTTAACCTTTTTTTTTTGTAATAAAAGTTCTGTATAACCTTTACTTAAAAAGTTGCTATGGAAAAAGTTCTAATGCTGTAAAAAACGAAAAAAAGTTAAAATAAAGATGGCAATCATACCATAACTGTTAAAATATAAAATTTAAAATTCAATTTTAAACCCTGCTTTTAAACTGTAAAATAAATGTACCAGTAAATAGAAAAAAAGTCTGAAATTCCCAATTTAATTAATTGATAAAACATATAATTAACATAAACATTAATAAAGAAGAAAAAAATCCTTTTTTACTAATGTAGATATCCTATAATATTAAAAGGAAATAAATTAATCTAAACAAATTTTTTTTTTTTAAATATAATTATTATGCCTTATTTTTTATAGATTATAAGAATAAAATTACATATCTATATTTGTTTTTAAATTTAGGCTTTGGATAGAGTACAAATAATTATTAAAAAAGGAAAAAAAATGACGGTTGTTATCACCAAGGACAACAGAAAGTAGAAAAGTTACGCTCGTTCCATCATCTTTCTCATCCCTGACCCACTTGTGAGGGAGACCATTAAATCATCCATTAGAATAACAAAAAAATGTACATTTGATTAACGCTACTGCTTAAGTAATATGTTAATAAAATGAAAAAATATATGTTAAAAAAATTAAACAAAATTATTTAAACAGAATAAAGCAACTGATTAAAGTATATAAAAATATAAACAAGTTCATTAAGTTCAAATACAAAGTTTTATCAAGTGAATCAAGAAATATTTAAATTTACTTTATAGAAAAATAATATTATTTTAAATAATATATAAAATTACCCAGCATTTCAAAGTTCTTTCTTTTTTCCATGATCGCAGATTTCATTAGGTAGTGACAAGAAAGGCGTGAGATGATGTTGCTAAACAGTAGCATCAGAATCGACAGAATGATACCACACTGTGAAACAAAATAGAACAAAACTTTAATTATATAAAATATTTCGTTTTGATTAATTAATTAATTTTATATTTTGATGACTTATCAAGATAATAAATGGAGATTAACAGGAAATCATCTTATTATAGTGTTTTTAAAAAATATATGTAGTTATTTATTTTATAATTAACAAATTCTAGAAACTTTTAGAAAATTTTAATCATACCACCAAATCATGACCGTTAGCAGTGGACATTAAATTTTTTTTACAAAAATGAATGGTTTTGGAATTCAATTTTGAATTTTCGTATAAATATGTCATAAATATTTTTTTTTGTGTGTGTATTTTAATTTTTGTCTAAATGAGTTAAATCAACATTAGACATTTATTTTCCCTAATATATTCTAGATTAATTACTTCTACCTTTTAATTTGTGAATACTCGTTTATGACAAGGATGGGTAAGTGGGATAGCAGTGAAGTTACGAAGTAATGAAAATTAAATGGCTCACTATCAGTTTAAAATGTGAATTCTAATAATTAGAAATAAACCTTATATGAAGGAATATTAATTTGATATTCAATATAAAAAAATAAAGAAATAATCTTATATGTCAATTTATTCTCTGACAATGAGAAAACGGAATTCATTATATTCCACATAAAAAATAATATTATTTTAAAATAACTAATAAAAGAAATATTGATTTTTCCAATAAAAAATAACATAAGTTGAGTATACAAAAGAAGTAAGCAAACTTGCAAAACTGTTTTCTCTTCCCATGTTACGTTTACATACATAGCTCATTACATTAATCCTACATCAACAAACATTATATCATTAAAAATTAAAAGTAGGATATTGATGATCATTCTAATTTTTATAATACAAAAATTAGCTAGTATAATTGAAATTTTCAATTATGATAAACAGGTTTACATGTACATGTAAATGCGTAAACACATAAAAACAAATTTGAATATTTTCCGTTTATATTTTAAGAGTGAAAAACATTATATGATTTAAAATTAGAAGTGGATTTCATGATAACATTTAAAAATATTGTTTTAAATATTAATTAATATGTTATTATATCAGAATAGAAACATTTTACATGATAGGACATACAGAAAAAGTATATACCATGACCCTCTTGCTATGAGAATTCAAACATTCATTGCATTTAAAGTGATTAATGAACCGTGGCAAAACAATAAAATATGACGAAGTAAGTCTAAAAATATATTTATTTATTGATTGCAATTGTATCATGAAGCTAAATTTAATAAAAAATTCAACAAACATTAAATGAAATTGTGGAAAATTATAATTATTATGCACTATCTTTTATCAATCATTGTAGATTTTTTAACAATGATGGTAAATAAAGAGACAATTGAACCTCATTTAGGGGAGTTTCTATATTTAATGCATACATTTTTTTTATTGCACAATATATAAACATATGTATACACACATTAAAAAATATAATAATTTTGAACAATAAAAACCAAGAGAATTTATTATTACAAAAAACAATTAATGTAATTTTAATTATTATATATTAAAAAATACTTGACATGTAACATTTATAATCAAATCATCTAAATAGTTTAAAACACACAGCAATAATTGTTTAAATTCAAATTTTTTTCTAATCTTATGCAAATGTAGTTTTTAATTTTACAAATTACTTTCATAGGATATATAAGTATAAACACGTATACCACTTGAATTAAAAAAAATACCAAGAAGCAGCTATTTCAGCAAAAATAACAGTTCTGTGAATTTGATAATTCTTATCAATTTTACAAATTAATTAACAAACTAACAAAAAAAAATAGTCATCACCAAAAATATTTAAAAAAAATGGTTCCTGACAACTTTCAATTTAATCGAACTATAAATATGATATAATTAATCATTATTATAATTAATTTATCTAAACAATTTAAGACATTCTACTAATAAAGCTCAGATTAAATTAATAACTGTTTTCAGTACAGCATATGGTAAGAACACTATTAAATTTTCTGCTACAATCAATCTAAAAACTATTTATAGCGACTTTAGAAAAGATTACTGTTTCCTTATATGCTTATCACACAATATTTACATTTCCAGCTCATAGCTACTTTGATGTCTGAATGAAAACTTTACTACGGATCACTATGATCAAAATAAATGAAATTATAATACATTTAAAAAAATAACATACTCATTTAATGTATTTTAAGATTTTTTAAATTAAATCATATTTCATACCTGTTTGAAACAGAAGGGCATAGCAAGAACACTGACACCGATGATACTGTTCGCCAGGGTGACGACATTGCCAGTATGGGTCCCCATTATTATCAATAAATAATGTTCTGAAAGTGATAATAAAATAAAATAATTAAAAGTAAATATATATGTTTTAACACTGAATGAAACACAAGAATTACACTATTCATTTTACTAAATTATGGTGTTATGATGCCATTTCAAACCAAACCATAATCACTTTGAGCTAGACAAAATGATAGACTAGAAAAAAAAAAAAAAAGTTTGTACACAGATGCAATCAAGATTATAAAAATCCTTCTAATTTATAAGTATAACTGAAGAAAGTGAAGAAACTATTATTTGATTGGTAAATTACCCTTTGTTCGTTAAAGTGAGGCTGAGGTTTGTATCGAATTGTTTACATATTGCGAAAGAACAAGCGTATACACAACCTCCTACTCACTGGAGGCACTAACCAATTCTATTCGACTGCTGCTCTTGGCCGCGAGGTGTCGCTAGCATCGCATCTCCCGCCAAAGAGCTACTGTTGTGATCTAAGTGCAATTTCATAGAGGTTAGCAATAACCTCCAAGTAATAAGAAAAAAAAAACTTGTTAAATAACTATAGGGAGTGGGGTAGCTCAGAGGTAGGGCACTATCGTCCAATGCTCAAGGTTACAGGTTCGAATCCCAACTTATGGCAGAAAAATTATTTTTCTTTTTAATCTGCTGTGGAGCGATTCTAGGGCACACTCAGCAACTACAAAGTGGGCATCCTTAATTAAATAATTACTTCTTCTTCTTCTTTGACTTCCTCACAATGCCATTTCTAGCGTCGAGGAGCCTCTATCCAGCGCAGCCATTCTCCCCGGTCTCTGCTTAACCGCTTCCTTTGGTTGAAGGGTGCCTCTTCTACCTCCGATCCTCTCCATGAACTCCTGATATGAGACTCTGGGACACCCTCGTGGTCTCTCTGTGGGGTCGAGCCTTTAATATCTTTATAGGGTCCATGTCCTCGTTCATGCAACATGTCCAAACCATCTTAATTGCCTGTTCTCCAAGGTGGTTTTGAGATGAGGCACTTCCAGCTGTTCTCTGATAGTTTCATTTCTAATGCGATCCCTCCTAGTTTTGCCCACCGATCTACGTAGGAATCACATTTCCTCTGCTGTTATGCGCCTGTAGAGTCTGTCCAATATAGTCCAACTTTCTCCGCCATAAGTAGAATAGGAAGGTATACAGACTTATAGACGTGCATCTTAGTATTTTTATCCACTTCACGGCAGCTGGATACTGCTAGCGATCTGGTGATATACTTGATTCGCCTTAGATATTCTATACGAAATCTCAGCATCTATCTTACCATATTGTGATTGAGCGCGATCTCAGGCAAATCACATCCTTGTACAATCGTCGACCAAGAAACAGTACTTTCCCTAAATAGGGTAAATGCACCAGTAGCTGACATGCTTAAGGAAATTTCTTTGAACTTTTACGTGTAATTAATTGATGTTACTATATTTTTTTACAGATTCTTACAGATACTATATTCTTTACAGTTCTCTTTATAGAACAATTTCTCACCTTATCTAATATCTATCTATATATAATATATTTAATATATAATATTTGTCTAAATTTAAAAATAAAATAAAATTAAGAGAATAGTTTTGTTGCACCAGTTGCTGACACTGTTTGATTTGAAATGTTCCTGTAGCTGACAGAGATGAGGAAAAAGATATAATTAAGGGAAATTTCATTTTCTTCATTTTAAAATCAACAAAAATTACATTTAACTTATCATAAAACTAATTTCTTGCGTTTCACGATTTAAATTTACCAATAAATGCTAGCCACTTTCAAGAAACTGTGTTTGGCAATAGGAAAACCTATTTTTGCTTGATATTAATTCAAAATCATTAGCAATTTTCTTTTTATTGAGGCAGTAGAGAATCGGCCCGTTTTTAAGACCCATTATATTGAGTATATCTCTTTGAATTTATGAGAGTAGAGGTCTATCAACTACTGTCAAAAATCTGCTACAAGCCTCCAGTAGCTGGCATCCACTGACAGTAGCTGACATCCGATTCCTCCATCAAGACAAGTTAAAAACAGATAAAACATAATTTAAAAACTCTCCAAAAACAATGAAACAAGAATTTTTGGATAACTCTGAGTAGTTAAAGAAACAAGGCACACTTAAGGTATGGTGCTTTTACTGACGGTTGGTTATTCCTCGGACACAAAGATGAACGGAAGAGACCTTCGTAATTTTCCACTTAATATTTCAGTTGCGACAATGTGAGATTTCCGGAAAAAATACAATGTTAAAACACAGAAGTATTTATATAGATAAATTTAAATGGCATCAAAAAGAAGACTTTAACCAAGTTTCTTTGAAATTGGTATTGAAATCGTTTAGGCGCTACAATCTATAGCAACGCAGGTTTTTCGGCAGCCATTTAGGAAGTAAAACACGCATAGTAATGTCGATGAAGGAGGATCATCCTCGGATGACCTCTGATTTTAAATCCAAATTTTAGAGTGCTACCTGTGGGTAGTTTCTCAACAAGTGATTTCACGCTATTATATTCTTTTGTTCACATTTACTGAATGTATTTTTACTTGTCATACAGTTGTAAATATCAGCAATAAAAAAAAAAATCCAAATTTGAAAAAAAAAAATCGGTTCAGTAGTTTCGGAGAATATGTGCAGACGGCGGACGGACAAACAAATTTTTATTCGTTTTTGGAATTCTACGTATCCTGAAACGTAAAACCTCAAATTTTGAGAGAGGGTTAAATTTTTGAATTTTTTATTCGATTAATATGGTTCATTACTGAAAATAATAAACCAAAAATAGATACAATAAGTGCATGATATTTTTAATTTTACAGATGAGAAATTCATCAAAGAATTTAGTTATTTAATTTTCTGAAGTGTTACATAGTAACGTTTTATGAAAAACCATGGATATAACGGAGAAGTATGTATTTTTAATTCTATGGAGCCAGTGCAGTGATAGTCATTTATCGAAAATTACTGAATAAATGTAATTTATTCTCTAAAGTACAGAACAAAACATAAAAAACTATACAAAATATTACTTAAATTCAAGTATAATGATTCATTTAAAAATGAAATCAGCTACGTATACAACGTCAGAAACAAGACTATGTACTTGGAACTTACGTTTAACAACAGATACAGTAAACGGACATTGAACTAAATGGTTCTCTATATGATCAACCTAATATCAGAAGACCTGTTAAACGAACCTAATATTAAGGAAACTAAAAAAGGAATCTTTAATTGGATACTTTTCCATTTTTAAGTTTCAGTTACCTAATCCTAAGACTCAAATACTGTGATTTTTCTTTTCCTTTACCTTATGTTTGTTTGTTTGTTTGGATGTCTAGGCGCAAAACATCCAGGCCATCAGCACCCGATCAATTAAATAACACTACTTTTATATTGTTTGGATGGTTAGTCCAAAAAATATGAATAAAATAAAGGATAAAAAAATAAATAAAAGGATTGATAGAATAAAATAAATAAATAAAAATAACAATAGACACTTATAGATAATAAGATAGAATAGATAAATATAGAAACTTTAACAAAATAGAAATAAAATCAATAAATGAATTGAAATTAATAAGCAAATGAGTTTTTAATAAAGAAAATGAAATAATGTAAATAGATAAAAAAATAAAATAAAAAATAATAATAAATCCGCAAAGGATCATAATTTATAAACTTGTCATATATGTTGTTTAAGTCTTTCATTATCTAGGAAATTGATAACTTTGGTAACGATTTATTCTTGATTTTCCAGGGATGCTGATATATTCTGGGGTATTCCTAGATCTTGCGGTGTAAAAAGGGCACTCTTCCAAAACATATGGTTAATGACTGGTCACACTTTTGACATCTGGGGATAAAATCTTTTTTTATGAGGTGGAGATGTGTATATCTTGTATACATGTGAGGAAGACCTCTTCTCTACGACTGCTGCGTCTGGAGCTGGTCCACGGTTGCACCTCTTTCTTAATTTGCTAGGTGCGCTGTTGTCCCACCGTCTTTGCCATTCTTGGAATATGGTTTCTCTCAGAGGTCGTGCAAGTTCAGACAGTGTCAGAAAACCTTTACCGCGGCCTGGAAGAGTAAGAGCTTCTTTTGCTGCTATATCAGCCATTTCGTTTCCTTTAATTCTTATATGGCCAGGCGACCAGATAAAATGTGCCGTTGTTCCAACTTCATGAAGCATTTTTATAAGATTTAAAATTCAGTGTATCCCTGGATGGTGTATCCATGGTATATGGTGTATCTCTGGTATACTACTTAACACTACACAGTTAAAGACCATACCACTTAACCAAATTATTATGTTTAGCTACACATTCAACGCAAAATTTAATATTCTTCAATTTTTTAATGACTGCGTGTGGATGGATTGTTCGTCAACTAATGGTCGGGAAGAATTGTACAAAACTGCCAACTTATATATATTTACGTTAAAAACATAAATATCATCAAAAACATAAAACTTTTTCTTTAGTTTTTTAGTTTATTATTTTCAATAATGAACCATTGCAATCGAACAAAAAATTCAAAAACTTAATCCCCTCTCAAAATTTTTTGTCCGTCCGCCGTTCGCGCATTTTCTCCGAAACTACAGGACCGATTTTTTACCAATTTGGATTGGTACAATTTTTCAATTGGATCAGAGGTCGCCCGAGGATGATCCTCCTTCATCGACATTACTATCTGCCTTTTCCTTCCAATATGGTGGCGGAAAAACCTATGTTGCTATAGAGTGTAGCGCCTAAACGAATGTACCGATTACAATCAAATTTGGCCAAAGTCTTTTTCTCGATGCTCTTTAAATTTATTTATATAACATACTTCAATGGAAAGAAGCTGAAAAAAAAGTTACGAGGGATAGTAAAATTAGATCCCGAATAACTCAAAAAGTATTCACTTTTTGACAATAAGGAGCAGAGATATGGTCTTTAGATGTTCTATTGCAAAGGTTATATCCTTTGTCTTGGTTTTTGATTTTCTAATGTGTTACTGAAGTAATGCTATTTTTTTAGCAAATTACTAATGAAAAAAAAAATTGTTTAAGGGCAATAATTGGAATCCTCTTTTTTTTTTTTTTTTTTCTTTGTCACCAGGAAGGTACTCTTAATGTTACTTTAGATGTATAAGTTTTTAGAATAAACCATTGTGAAATAATTTGCAGCGTTTTTTACTTTTAAATCTATTCTAAATGTAGAGCTTTTTATTGATGCAACAGGTCATTGTTCGGTCAAATGCCAGTTCCAAGAATTGTATTGTTCCAGACGAATTTGCACGTTTTCAAGGTGAGGCGGAGGTCATGTTTCCTGTTTAAGAGTAAACGTGACGCGTTGCGATTCGTCACGGTATTCCGCCATTTGTACCAATCTTATAATCTTGCAAGAACCAAATGGTTCCTTAAGGTCATTGAGTGGGTGTAGAGTTATGGTGGCTTA